TCCCTGAGGTGACAAAGTGCACTGTTGATTTGTAGGCAATGCACATAGGATTACAGGAGACTCCACACTGTGAAATGATTATAAACCAGTAATTAGTTGGTGATGGAGGTATAATTTGGTTCAGAATTCTGAAGCCAGATAAACTGATTAAAAATTATGCCCTGTTAACTCAGTCCCTTGTGCAATTAAAAACACAGAACCTGACTGAAGTAGTCAGAAAGGCCTTCCAACGGCAGTAAAAAAATGAAACCATTTAAAAATGTGCTCAACTCACAGGCTTGGGTCCCAGAAAATTTGTTTCTTTAAAGACAGAAGGACGTGCTATTCCTCTTCACCCTTAGTGCCCTCACCCACTCAAATGCAGCTTAACCTTTGGATGGTAAAACATGAATGTGCTGGAACTAAGCAGTGTCTGGCACAAGTGAGCAGCTCATCGGAAGATGGTTTTTTGATGTACCAGTGCTTTGGAAAAATACTTCCTGCAGGTGTTCTGAAATCACCTGGAGTTTTCAGGAGCTGCTTGATTTAATTTTCAAGTGCCTGCTGTGGTCATACAGACTGATTCTGGGAAGTCCCTCACGACCAATTAGCTTCTGCAGGTGTTAAGTGGCCCAAGATAGCCCATTCAGATGTGTCTGGCTTTTTTTTTTTTTTTTGGGCCAAATGATGTGATTTCTGGATCTCTTTGTGCCTGAAGCTATTGCCATGATATTGCACTGATAGTGGAATTCAACTTCCTTAGAGGACAAAGACAGACACAGCCAATGAAAAGATGCTCAATACGGCAGTATTTATGGGAGACTTCTGATGAATTCCAGCTTTGTAGAAATGACGCGCGTTACTTCAGATGTCCATAAAAACGAAGCATCACAAGACAGTTTTGACCAAGTCCTTCAGTCTGTGGGAGCAGTATGAATGGGACTCATCCCTGGGAATGGCAGGAGGTCTCTTCTGAACAGAGCTGAGACCCTGCTACTGACAATACCCCACAGCACAAGGCTCAGAGAAGAGCTGTGTGTGACTGCAGCACTGTGTTCCTGATGGCTCTCCAGGGCCCTGCACCAAAGCAGCTACCACTGACCACCTCTTGGCTGCAGGCAGAGCTGGAGGAGACTGAAGAGGTTGCTCAGGCTGGGAGAGCTGATTCCTGTGCCACCAGACCAAACTGCTGTAGACACTGTTCACTGCTTTAAAATTCCTCTCTAAAGGCTTTTACGTTTCATGGAAAACCAACCAACCAACCAAAACCCAAACCAAAGATTTTGAGAAGGCTGTCTTATCACTGTATACTGCTAGCCACAACCACTTGAAGAAGAGGACTCGTTCCAAGCAACCAGTTTTGGCACTCAGTGCGCAGGTTGACAGCAGGAGAAGTGGAAAACAGAGGAGGAAAATAATATTTTTAAACCAATTTTGCTTTAAAATAACTTCTTTGCAAAACCGAGGTACATCAAGGACAGCTCTGTTTTTCAGAGGTCACAGACACCCTCAGGACATGACGTGTTTGGTGTTTCTCTAGGAACCATATGAATTACGCACTTCGTGATTGCAGAGCAGCACTTCACAGTTACATTTACAAAGAAATTTACCCACATTAATCCACAGAGAAGTCTTATCCAGCTTCCTAAGGAAATGACACTGTTTGTGTATATCTCACCTGATAAACTGTAAACTTACTGGCTATTTCCAACCAAACTGAAGGAGCAGGAGAGGTCTCAGCAAGAGTTTACATCCTCCATGGTTAAACAGCTGGAAAGAGGCCTTCACTGTGTTTCTGTATGGCGAAGGATACAGTGTGAGCATAGCTCCTATTAACCACAAGAAAATCCGTGCAGGAGAGAGACCAAATAAGTGCCCAGACTACAAGAAAAACTTCAACTGCAGCTTGAAATAACTGAACTTTGCATTACAAATCCAAAGGTAACAAGGGTTCTTTAGTTTGGGGTTCATGAAACTATTCTTATGAGCTGAAAATATAATTACACCAACTTCTTTATATCAGACATACACTGCTGGTTTTCTCCCAGTCTTCTTATAAATATGATTAATTTACATTTTAAAGACCTTGATGGGTTTTCTCACATCGTGGAACTGTAAGTGAGATTAATAACCCAGTTACTGAGTACTTAAGGTCATGGATCTTTTCCATATAAAAACATTAACATTTTCTTAATTTTTAAAATGCACCTTTGATTTGATTCAGAGGTTAATGCTCATTTGTTATGTAATAAAAGGGAGAAAAGCTAAAGCGTGAGTCAGTGTTTATTAACCTTGCTAATAAGACAGGCTTTTTCAGGCAAGATGGATATTAAAAAATTGGTAAAACTGTTTCATTGCCATTTAGCCAATTAATCCTTTCCAAACAAGGGAAGCAGCAGTAATTTTATTTGCAGTGAATGGAAATACACTTGTCACATTCTGCATATCAATTTACACATCCTTACCTTTCCGTTTACACACTCTTACTTTCCCACTTAAATCTGTAAGAATGCAGCCTTTAATTCCCAAAATAAGGTAATCCACGAATTAACATTAGAATGTATGGAACTGTGGCTATATATAACATATTAATCAATCTCAGTTTGCAATCTGTATGTAAACTCAATCTGCACATTCATGGGATTAATCTAGACTCCAACACTGCATTTCCTTTAAAAGTGTGACTTGCATCTTTAATAGAGGCATAAGAAAGCAGATGAAAAGATGCTTTAATAAACTGTTTTCCACAGTTTGTAAAAGCCTAGCCTTAAGGCTGAAGTTTGCATTAATGCTGTTTTAAACAGCACTGATGCTGAATGTTGACATTTCACACAATTGCTATTGAGTCCTGTTGGCTGATCCTTAAAAAAGACCCTATAAAGCATCCAAGTGTTTAATAACAGGTATTAGCAGTCTGTTAGAGACAACTATATATGTCTTTTATACATAAAAATGCACTCCAAAATTTATGTTCTTGTTCAGTATGTTAGAAACAATAATCCAACAAAATAACTGTCAAAAATACTCCAGTGCACTGGGTAATGTTACACCAAAAGCACAATTTCCATTACATCATTCCTTTTTCTTCTGATTTGTTTTCTGTAATCCCTCCATCCTTTTCATGAAACACTGAACAGGCGCAGAACTGTGAATAACCAACAACTGCAGGTTGTAATTCTTATAGTTTGTATGCCATTTCTGAAAGTATTCTGTAGTCAACCAGGACAATACCTAAGTGGCCTCATATATGAAAAAACTAAGACGTCTAATTATTTAGCTAAATTTTATGTTCTTAGACACAGCTGGATTGCCTTTGACAGAGAGCTAGTGCATTACTAGCTATTAAAACCATCCTTTTGTATTTTAGGAACAATTTAGGGCAAGGGAACAGCTTTTTCTTACCTTATCTGCACACTGGAACCTGGCCCATAAAAGCCTTAAAACAGAGAAAAGGAGGATCACTTATATAGAAAGGAGTTTTTCTTTGGAGGCTGGTGTCTACCACTGGAGAATGGAGAAGCATGACTAATTTCCACTGAGATGACCAGGAAACTGGAGAAAGGAGGAAAGAGGATACTGCAGTAAAAAAAAAAAAAAAGAAAAAAATTAACTCTGGTTAATCACCGTTGTTTCTGAACACTTATTCCATCTTTACTAGAAATTTAGCTGATGGATAACAGTCTCTAAGAATTATCTACGCTTGATTTAACTTAAACTGTGAATTATGAACTGCAAATGCTTTCACTGTAAACTGTGAGAACGCTTTTGTCACAGTTAAGAAAGATGCTCGAGTCGCAGTGTGCCTCTTAAAAGATCAACTGTTTTCCTCAGGACTTTGAAGAAAAAAGCAATGTGTACACATTTAAGCAGTTGTTTGCAGTCAGAGAAGCTTTGCAGATATCCAGACCTGCATTCTGAACAATCTCTTGCCAATTAGATGGTTAGCAGAAACTTAACAGCTTTTTATTTCTTTGATGTGAGCAGATAGTATGTAGCTAGTATAATACAGGCTATTCTGCAGCTTTATTTTCACCCTACTTTCCCATTTTCTATCTCCCCGGGCTTTTTACAGTTTGTCTACACTGATCTCTCTGGAATAAACTTTTTTCTTAGGGGTTTTAAGTATGCCTGGAAAGAAGTTTGCTTCCTAGGAATGTCATATGTATAGCTGCATTTTCCACACCTTCTAATATAGAAGAGATGTGCTTTTTTTCAGCACAAATAGCCTGGACCACTCTTCAAAACGAGCCATCAACTCACTTTGGATAAAACCAATTTTGTCCAATGTCCAGCTTGCCCACAAGAAAGTATGAGCTACTTTGTATAAAACCAATTTTGTCTGATGTCCAGCTTGCCCACAAGAAAGTAGGAGACATCCCAGCTGAAAGGTGATATGCTGAGAAATCTCCTTTCCTAGGGAATACACCCAGAGCGTTACAGGTCTCTCACGAGGTTCTGGAGTTCATTGCCCCAGTCCATGCACCCTTTTGCCAAGAGAGCTGTGCATTGAATTAAGCCCCTGAACAGCTAATGAAACCTGCTTGGACATACCTTTGTGGACAGTAATTCTGTTCAAGTCCTACCTTTCATTAAAAATCTCACGTGTATGATTTAAATGTATGAGTTTGAGACTCAGTGACTTACCGGCAAAACTGAGGGACAGGTCACAACTGAAAAACCAAAATCAGAAGTATTTGGACTTTTCACATTTTATTTGAAAACAGAGGGCTGTAAATTAATTACCAAACTATTTACATGGTAGTACTGTGGTTTTCTGATCCTTCACACCAGAACAAAATAAGCAGATACACGGCTGAGGACTCCCATCAGAGCAATTACTGTGTTTGGGGTAATGGTCACAGTGAGGGCCCTTGACAGAGGTGGCATTACGGGTAGTTCTCTTCTCTTTGCAAAAGAAATTGCTGACCTCGCTGAACATAAGTACACGTAGCTGGGACACAGGAGGCGCCACATATTAACAGGATAAGCAGTGCCAAACCTTGGACTTTGTCAAACTACTCTTATCCCAGAATAAGGGTTTTATTAAGTGCTTTCAGCTTCATTTTCTCCACGTGTTTTTGAACCTTCTCTCTGAGCTCGTTGCTTTGTGGCTGAAAATGTCCATCTGGATGGTTGTGCAGGTCTCTGCAAGAAGTTTAAAAAGTCATTTTTATTTATAATAGGGGAGCTACTTAGGAATGGTGACAAAACAAGAGACACACACACATAATTTCTCTCTTATAATGAGCACAGAGAGTATTCCCCTACTTATGCAGAACTGGAAAATGAGGGGAAACTAAAAAAAAAAAAACAACAACAACAACCACCCCCAACAACATTCACTCTTGGCTTGGCCAGTTAGGAAAGCTGATAGTTAAACACCTATTAGACTGAGTTTTACATTTTATCTATGAAGGAATACTATGCCTGTAATGTCCAGAACACAAGAACCCACATGAAAAATTATTTGCCATAAGGATAAAATGCTGAAACTGCTGTAGAAGAGCAGTGTGTGCTCTATTATCCAGTGAAATACCACTCCATCGGTAACAACCAAGAACCTTCCAGTGACAACAGAAAGGATTGTGGCTTCATTGTTTGCTAATAAATTTTTATTTCCCTCTTTACAAAGGCAAACAAATAGGGAAGCTTTCACCAAGTAAATATCAATACCCAAAGGTGTTTAATATAGAAAAGTATTTTCATTTTTGAAGAAAACATCCAAAACTTCAAAAAGAGAGAACCTTGTGGTTACAAAACTACTTATCCTGGAAAAGCACAGTCCAACACTGTATCACTGTGGGAAAAAAGGTCACTCTTGAGTTACACAAGCTATCTCAAATCCTCATGTTCTGACAAACAAAGTGTCATAAAATGCAAAAAGCAGCACTGAGTCAGACACACCTGTGTTTTTACAGCAAATTATTTTCAATCAATGCTGTAGTAATCACAATATAGCAATCAGGGTTCTGTCAGAGAGCCCATAATATGCAGCACTGTTTTAACGTTTAATGGCTGACAGTTGCACAGGATTTGAATGTCAATCAAATAATTTGCCTCTAAAATTAAAGATATTCAGATCTCTTGATGGCTCTGAAAGTTTCAGGCTAGTATGTACATCCTGATGTCTAAGACACATCATGGTCACTTTAAAGAGAGGGCAACTGTTGGACAGAAAGATTAATTCACTTGCTCCAAGTCACAGGAGGTATCCAGGAAAACACAGGGTTAAAACTCAACACTTTTTCCTGTGTTGTTCTGCAGTCATTTATCCTACCCATGCTGACTGCAGTGCCAGCCCACTGCCTGCAGCGTCCCAGTTACCTCCTTGCATCCTTCCTGCAACATCAGATATCCCTAAATTTCACACAGTACATCCACTTCTGCTTCCAGCCCCACAGAACTGCTGGGCAGTTCTGAAATGCTGCTCTGAAACTATGGTGGTCATCATCAACTTCATCAAAGTCCCATTTGTCCCTCAGAGGTTTCCTTGTCCTCAGGCTGCCCCTCAAGATTTCTCTGCTGAGCTGCCAACTCAGGACATTGGCCTGACAACACTGGAGACAAAAGGCAGAGTTTGGCCCTTACAGTGGCCAGTTTACAAAGTTTCAGGTAATTCTGTGTTTATAAATGCAAGTTATTTTACATGCTGTGCTGTATGCCTAAAACTCAATGTGCGTTGAAGTGGGAAGCTCAGGCAGCAGAGCAGACGTGACCCACTCCTATGAAGAGCCTGTGGAAAAAAAGCACCATGCCAGGGGGAAATTCTATGGGCTCACTCCTCTGCCAGCATTAATAAATACCTAACCAAATGGGTCACTGAAGAGGAGATGCCACTGCTCCAAGAACACTGAATATCTCTGGGAAGGCAAGAAAACTGCCTCAAGTGTTAGATCGTACTGATAAAACCAAGTCAGAGACATCCAGAACCATGTGCCACACTCACAGCTGCTTTCTGAAGCCCAGTCTGGGCATTTGCAGTACAAATTCACTCAAAGTACCAAATCTGCAACCCACTTGTGATGGAGCCCCTAGAGCACCTCAGTATGACTTTCCATGTGATTTTAAAGGTGATGCTTGTCTTCAGATTCCTTTCCATTCCCCTCCCATAATTTCAAATTGTACCTACCTTTCTTCTTTGGCTGATTTCTCTTTGCCTTCTGAGAACGCCTGCCCGATTTGTGGAAATTCAGCTCTCACCATCTCTGGAGTAAGAATCATTTTGAACTCAGTTTCATCTGTCTCACTAAAAATTAGTAAGATGAAGAACAATCAGGCTTTATCCTTTTAAAAGTACTTTTTAGCCAACAATAACAAAAGTATGTTTTATGTAAGAGGGACTTTGTGCTTTTGCCTTTGAGGACCTCCCACGACAGGTTTAGACACATCCATACAAGTGGTTAAGACATAATCAATCACACTGAATTAAAAATAGAGGAGAAACTTACTGGTCAATTATGTTCTCCCTGTCCCTCTCAGGTAAGTCATACAGGGTTGGTGGTACCTCTCTTGGAAGCATATCTAAACTGTAAGGATCCCTGCGGTGGAAACTGTTTTAGTTTAAGAAGGACAGAGAGCAACTGCACTCAATGCTTCTATTTTGAAGCTTCACAGCAGCTGTAGTTACAATGAAGATGATGTACTTTTAAATATTCCTGGAAAATGTGAGTACACCAGAAACAGCTGTGACAGGAGGGAACACAAGCCTGAGAGATGTTGGCTACCACTGCGTGCGCGTGCCCATGTGTTGAAGGTTTTACGGTTCATACTTCTGCAGGGCAGACACCTTCCAGGTCTTCTAATACTGAATCAAAAAGCATTCAAGAGAGATCTTATTGAGAGCCCAGGCTGGAACTCTCCTTCCAGGGTCAGGTATTTCCTCTAATGATACTGCCCTTAACCCACCCTCCAAAGTGGTCAGTAGGAGTTTTCCACAGTGGATTTGGATTTCTGAGCAACAATTCCACCCATAGGTCCACTTTTATCTGTAGGACTAGTCATGGTGATTACAGTTACAGACAGCAGAAACTGGTGCAGGGTATATTTAAATTCTTTCTTACCTAGGTATTGTACTCGCCAGTGTGGGAGTGTTAGAAAAAGTGGAATAGACCACTGGCAAGAACTTTCTCCATTCCATTACTTCACAAATCACCTCCTGAAATGACAAGTGCTACAGCAATCAGACCACTAACACATAACACAATGGGGAGAGAGGCTTGCCAGACAGAAGATCTGACTTCTTGGCTGAGAAATATGCAGTTCTCCATATTTAAAAGATGCTTCTTCCTCTGCAAGGTCATGAAAATACAACAGACAGAGACAAGAAGGAAAGAGCAGAGAAATACTCAGGGATAGAGACATAGAATCATAGAATGGTTAGGGTTGGAAGGGACCTTAAAGATCATCTAGCTCCAACCATGGATAAAGCCTAACAAGTTATTCTGACTCATGTACTGACTATTTAGGTGTATGCATAATTTTTACTTAAAAATATCTAGGGTGACTTCATCTTTCTTTTTGACTCCTTGGAGCACATTCTCAGCAAGAACATACTGAAACCGGGTACTCACACAAAAAACCCCAAAGGCCATACCTTGTGATGCAGAAATTTCTTTTGTGTGACTGGAATACTGGATCCTTTGGGGCATTCCTTGGTAAAGGTGTATTTTGGATGAGGGCAAAGATGATATTCAATATTTGTTTCAGAATAGGCCAAAGGAGGTAAAACTGGAACTAATCCTGGAGTGGGGTTCTAAAAACAGAGGAGATTATTTTAAAAAATTATTATGAGCACCATAAAGAACTAAATAGATGAAAATACAGTTCTTAAAATTAATATAGTCTTCCCAGATTCACACCTTTGTCTCATTGTGACTATTCTGTTCAGTGTGACCTTTCATTTCCTGTCTCTTACCATCATCACAGACTCAAAATCTGCCTGGCTTATGCATGCTCTCTGCTGTCTGAAATACAGCAATAAGGTGTTTTTTCCAAGTTTGGAAGAAAAAAGAAAAACACCCTATCATCTATTTACTCCAACATCCATAAATGATTCTCTGAATAGTTCAGGATCCAAGAATGGGAAATGGCCTCACCATGGTGGAAGGTAGTGAGCAACTTGCCATCTATTTCACTGCACTGTTTCTGAATAAAGTCTAATGCTGGGTAGCATGGGATCAGGCTGTGCCTGGCTCTTACACTGACATGACAGAGGGATGAAGAGATGCACAGAGGATCTAATCAGTAAGTCCACTGGAGTCCTGGCCACATGCGGTGAGGACTAGTCTATACCATGTATGTTATGCCAAGACCACCAGACTAGCACACAGGGCTCTGGGCCACTGCAGCTAAGTGATGCTGAAAGACAGAGCCCCCCAAGTCAGGCGCGGTGCCGTGCTGGTGCAGAGATGCTGCCTGTACCCACACACAGCGCTGAGCTGTACAGCTGTCTGTGCCTGCCCAGAGACACCCAGCTCAGGGATCTCCAGGCTCTGCTGCACTGTGTGGGAAACACCTTCTGTGGTTGGAGCCAAGTAGCACAATCTACATGATGATTAAGTAGCAGAAAATCCTTCCATGCACTCTTTGAATCCCTGTGTGTAATAATTTGGAAATGTGCTTTTGAGATGTTATGAGAACTATTGGAAACTCTAAGGCAGCAGAACACAATGTGAGCAGAGTTTGACTTCATTTTGCAGTTTACCTAAGGATCAGGCAGTGCCCTTGCTGAAAAGGAGGAAAAGACTGCACCTGTCCTACCTACCTGGGCAGGAGCATGAGGTTATAGAAGGGCTGAGATACCAAGATCATAGCTTTTCTTCTAACATCCAAATGGGGAAACAAATGGAGAAGAAGGGAGGGGCCCCATGGTGTTCCAGGGAATCCTAGGATCAGTGACCATTCGTGGAGTGTGAGACTGGAAGGGTCTCCAGTTCTCTGCCGTCCCTGGCAATTTTGCCTTATCATTCCTCCCCTAAACTGATCAAACTCCACCTTAAAGTGAGATGGCGCCCTCAGTGGGGTGAGCTCTGTGACTCCTCCCTACCAGCGCTTGCACCCTGAAGGATTACAATCACTCTGGGAAGTTTTATATACCAATCTGAGTAAAAGAATTGCCCACTAATTCCAGATCAGGCTTCTGAAGAAACAAACATCCTTTCCCCTCCTTTCTTAGGTTCTTTGTGGAAGTCAGCTTCTACTTACAAAAATGCGAAGTGGGTTGCTCTCTGTAGGGTAGACTAAAGCTTGAGGAGGAACCAGTTTTAAGAGGCTGATATCCTTTGCTGCTACTTCTTCTGGGGATGTTTTGTGAAAACCCATCCTCTGGGAGACCAACTTAAGCTGCCCCTCAGGAGAAGCAACTACCTGAACCAACTCATCCTTGAAAAACACAGACATCAAAGGTTTTCAGACTGTAGTAAGGCTTTTGGTATAAAACGTTGAGACAAAACTAATCAAATAATTGTAGGAATGCAAAGTTTGTATTTGAGATGACTTCTTACCTGGGCTCCCTGCCTCAGTGGTCGGGAAAGTTTTCGAGGTTTGTAACTTGTGGCTGCATGGTGTGTACAAAATGGCTGATAGTTCATAATGCTGAAACGCTGAGGAACCTAAGCACAAAGAAAAAAGGTGTGCTGCAGGAGATGAGAATAATCACCTCTGATTAACTCAGAGGTGCAAGGGAACATTCCAGCTTTGTCACGGACACGTCACATCTCTGTGGTAAAAGATACTTGGATCACTACTCTGGAACATGGTATATGACCAAAGCTATGATAAGCTGCACTTCACCAGGACAAGAAAAATGAGTGTGTAAAGGAATATTTTTATTCTTGCTTTTCCATGAAAGATCATGGATTTAATAGTTTCTTGATCAAACATACTGAACTGAATGAGGTGGAGCAAAGCTGTGTTAAGCAATATACGTAACACCAATAGGTGAACCAATGTGTAATAAGAGGAAAAGATGCTACAAGAAAGTTTCTAAACTTGTTACACCACCTGGAAAAAAAAGCAAGTGGACATTGAGTCAAAATCTGCAATGATTTGAACCAGAGGAAATACTTTCATTTTGATGGGATGCAGAATTTGATCTTTTGCTATTCAAAAACTGTAAAGTAAAGGGCTTAGAGAACTGTTTCTGTACTCATAAAGTTGAAAAAACATTATGTATTTCAAGAATGAGATGTTTGCGTTTCCAATGCAGGAATGAAGGAACCAAGCATGCAGAACTGGAAGCCAAATAAACAGGAGGCCTCCATTACTTTCTAAAAGGAAGGACACTTTTATAAAACTCTAAAATCAAAGGCAAAACTGTGGTGTGCAGGGCTTGCAGTATCTTCATCCATGGAAGGATTTTGTTCTTTGAGATAATAACTTCAGCTGAGGTGGTTCATACGTCTGGAGAGAGGGGACTATTGCTGACTATAAGCCTTATGGAAACAGGTGAGATTTGTTTTTAATAAAAAGCATGCTAATTACACAGTCCCATTAGGTAACATTTCTACTGGGCTGCACAATGGAGTCACTGAATCAGGCAGAAAACATCTCAAACTGGGCTGGTGAAAGACAGAAACATGATACAGCGGAGGGAGCTGTACTGACTCACCTTCAAGTCATAAAAAGGAAGAAAGTGCCTGACTGTCACATCGATAGGTTTGACAGGAACTAGGCCAAGAGCGTCAGGTGCCTGAAAGTACACGGTATTTAAAACCCAGTAATATGGTGGGCATTTTGTTTTGCATTAGCAGCAATCCATCAGCACAGCTACTTGAAAACACACGGAAATAATTACACAAACATTTTGTTTGATATTTCTCCTATCCGTTCTTGGACTCTGTCATTTCAGTTATTTTTCATTTCTTTTCTTCTGCAAAATAATGGATGTTAACTAACTTAGGTCATTCATGTATGAATGAGAATTTGTAAGAGAATGCAAAGATTTTTTTATTGTTTCCAGCTGCACCCTTAGTAAATCTGAAGTCCTGAACTAATGTGTGGGAACCGCAGAACAGCAGTCACATTGTGAAATTTTAATAAAGGCAGTACTGGGCCTGGGGCCCGTGACTTCAATAAAATTTTGTCTGGGGTGCTGGCCACCGTTTTAGTTATTTTACCTACCAAATCACGGAGCAATTTATGGGAACTGTTAAAGGGGAATGCAAAAGGCAATATACGATCTTCAGATATGCTGGAAGAAATGCCCTTACATTCTTCACTCTTCTCTGTTTTGCTGAAACTCCTGTTTTCTGTCACGAATGGAAAGCAAATATTAAGAACTTGCAATATAGCTTAATACACAGTGTCAAAAATAGAATCAAACCATAAAATATATGTAACATCTCCCTAAGACAGGATGTGTCTAGTCATTTTAATATAAAAAGTAAGGTAATATATCCTAAGGGCTTTAAATGCCACATCTACAAGACAGCAGGCACAATACCTTGACTACTAGACAGACCTAATTTTCCCTTTTCATTACAGCCCCTTCCTTCCAGCATGGCCCTCTATCTCACTCCGCCCAGCAAAGCAGAGACAAGTCAGAAGGCCTCTCATACACTAACTGCTATCACGCCTTCTACTTGAAGCACCCACAGGAAAAGGCCTGATAGGCAAAGGTGTTTCAGCAGTTATCAAATTGTGTGTATGAGGGAGCAGGAAAGGAGAGACACAAATTCTCTTCTGTCCCCAGCATACCCAGCTGTGACTCCCATCCAAGGCCACTTCCCTTCTATGGCTGTTAAAGAACAAGTGACTTTTCCAGGCCAGCACTTTTGTTTCAGCGTGAAGAAAAAGCGATTGCTTGAAAGCACTTGTATGAGAAAATGGTAAGGAGGAAAACAGCCCAGCACTGGACACCTAACCGTGCATCCCATGGTTCCTACTGTCTCATTTCACTAAGGTCAGATATCTTGCCTTCATGACATCCAGGTGTCTTTCCCTCTTCTCCGCCCCATGCAATAAGCTCGTTTTATCCTATGTCTCTAACCCAGGCTCCACCTGACCTGCTTACTTACCTGTGTTTCTCACAGGCCCATCTGCCCCTTCCTTTTTCCTCAGGCCTACAAGCAGAATCACAAAGCAGCTTGGGTTGGAAGGGACTTGTAAAGGTTATCTCGTCCAACCCTCCTGCCAGGGGCAGGCACATCTATCATTAGGTCAGGTTGCTCAAAACCCCATCCAACCAGACCTTGAACATTTCCAGGGATGGAGCATTCACAACTTCTGCCCCATTATTAAGTAGATAAGCTGCTACGCTTCTAAGAAGAGTTAATCACATTTTTTTAAGTCTGATAAATAATGTGCATGAAAACCAAATATATTTCGACGACAGGCATTTCTACCTTCTCTTTTTTGTCAGAAGACTCCTTTGTAGGAGCTCCATCTTCACACTGACACGTCGGTTTATATGTAATGCACCTGACACACTGCGGTACAACCTCAATTATCACAGTTCAGGGCCAAAATATCAACTTGTTCTACTCCTTACCAGACACAGAGCTTTCCTTCAAACCTCTGGCTTCTCTGGTTAGCCCACGGAACAGAAGCAGTAAACGATTTAGTCGAATCTGAATCACAACCTGAGAGAACGATTTTCAAGCTTAATATTAAACTGAACACTCTCAGATTTACAACTACAGAAATACATATACATTACAACAGTATTTATTCTACACAGCTCGCTCCGACATCTCTATTTCAGAATTTCTACTATAGTTCTCTGTTCAAGAGGAAGAAAATGAGGAAGAAAAGATGTAGAATGGATCTCAACTCTACAGTGACATTACACAACAAATCCAGTTCAAACCTTTGTTTAGTCTTACAGGTTAATTAGACCTTTTTTGGCCAGGTCCTAATGCTTCATCTGTGTCTGTTGGCATACACAGATTTAACAGTGGGTAAACAGTCGAGTCATCAGGGCCATATGATACTTGTGGCTCTGTGAATGAGGAGAATAAGTAGTAACCTGCAGTGTGCCTAGTGCTATGTGTCACAGGGTGACAATGAAGTCCTAGGTTTTCATACCAGCAGCGGCCATTTAGTCAGCTCTTTATTTGTGCAACACAGGAAAGAGCATATCATTTCAGGACCTCCGTATCGAGCCTAATACTGTGAATAGGTTGGAGAATATCCAAACTGGATACTAGGAGAGCAGGAAATTTCCATATTGCTTGCTGCACTTAGATTTACTGGGAAATGAGCAGTGGAAAAGCAAGATAATATTTAAACTCAATGAATTAAGTGATTTTACTGATTTAGTCTTTATCTTCCAGGTTGGAAGGGATCTTGGGAGACCCTAGTCCAACCTCCTGCTCCAAGCAAGGTCAGTGATGAGCTCAGAGCAGCTTGCTCAGGACTTCATCCAGTCTGGTCTTGTAAACATCCAAGGATGTAGACTGTACAACCTCTCTGGGTAACCTGCTCCAATGACTGACTGTCCTCATGGTGAAAAATGCTTTCCTTCCGTACAGTCTATACCTCTTTTATTTGAACTTCTGCCCATTGCTTCCCACGTTCCCACCATGCGCCATTGCAAAGATCCTGGCTCCATCATCTGTAACCATCAGAGGTGCTGGAAGGTGCTGCTCTCTCTCCCTACTTTCCCTCTCCATGCTGAGGAAGGGTCTCCTCACAGAGTGAGTACTCCAGACCCCAACCATCTTGGTGGCTCTACAATGAATTCACTACAGCTTTTCGAGGTCTTTCTTGTACTAGAGACCCAAAACTGGGCACAATATTCTATATGCATTTTGAAATACTCTCTCTTTTGTGCAAAAGTGTTTAAAAAAAATTCTAAATTCATCTGCATTTGTTTCGTATTGACTAAACTCTACTAAGCACCAGCAGAAGCACCCGCTGAATAAAAAACTCCAGATCCTTATTTCCTGGTGAAGTACAGACATATTTATCAGACTATCAAATCCCTGGCTAGCTGTGAAGGCTCCTTCTGTGCCAGTTTGCATGTTCTTTTGTGCTATTTCCAAGGCATCATGCCATCACACTGAATTGTGGTTCTTCACCTTACCTTGTATGCTGCTTGTTGGAATTTCCTCAACATCCTGTTTCTGTTGTCCCAAGGGTCATTAGGGAGCAAGTCAAATGTGGGATGGACACTTGGATGCTGCATGGTATTTTTTTAAAAAAGAAAAGAAAACAGACAACCCTTTTACAATCAGACAAGAGAGAAGCTTCCTCCCGTCCAAGTCATTCCTTGGCCTGAATCCTTATGTTATCTCCAAACACTGAAATGAAGGCAAGTGAAAATGTTCTCAGCATTGGCATTTAACCAGAAGCCTTCACTGCAGGGCTTAATGGGAGGTAATCATGAAATGTTTGCAGATGCAGTATGGGGAATGCAGAGATAATGTAGCATGGTCTGTGTCCACACAAAAATGACAACATACTATGACTTAAGTGCCCTACCTGAGCAGTCAGCCAGTGGAGAGAAGTCCCTACTGGGTACACGCTTCATTCTGCACAGACGTGAAGCTGGAATAGCTCTAAGGGCTCAGGCCAGGGGCCCAGCAGAACCAGTATCCTGTCTCCAAGAACGGCTGTTAGCACATACCCACAGAGGGGTGAAAGTCCATTGTAAACTTAGAGTAATAATTCCCCAGAATAAGCTTGAGACAGAGGTGATGTCTCTGTATTTAATGCCTAAAATTGCCTGAATGCTCTACAAATGCAAGTATATCTCTTTCTTGATGCATCAATCCCCTCTCCAGGTTTAGACCGATGTGACAGAAGAATGTGGCACTGGAGACTCCCGAAGCCCCAGAGTACAATACCTGTCACCTGGAGGGTTGTCACTCAACCAGCGTTTAGATTAGGAAGGTCCTCAGAACACCAACCCCACGCCATGCCTCACCAAACAATTTTCAGCACTTTGTAACAGGCACAGGAGTAAAAACCCAACTCCACAGCTATTATGTTCCTCAATAAGAAGGGGCAAGAATCGTTTGTGTTGCTAACATTTGAATTTCCTTTTCCTGTTCAGGTAGATGTCACCGGTTGCCCTTTCCTTATCCACCGAGGTCGTGACCCCATTGCAGAAGGTCACCAAATTTGTCAAGCACGATCTGCCCTTGGTGAAGCCATGCTGGCTGTCACCAATCACCTCCTCATCAGAAGATGAGCTGTGCCTGTAGCACAGTGCTTGCCCGACTGTACTAAATGTAAAATGGGAAATAAGACAATGACACAGAAAGGAGAATATTACGAAGAAAAGTATTCACTGTCAAATATCTACGTCTCATTGCTAGCTTAGTAGGTGACAATAACATATAGCAGGTCAACTTGGAGATAACACGTCTGAAAGAAACTTCTATTTTGCTCCCTTGAAACTCCTGTTCTATGACAGAATCTCCTCTGTGGATCTGATTTGTCACCAGGGAGGACAATCACATTAGTACAAAGCAATTTCTTTTCTCTCATACAATTAGTGGAACTCACAGTGAAACATTTTGGAGGGGCTTGACAAAACACAGACTTCATTCCCTTCTAGGCAGCGATTACTGCAATCCTTGAGCAAGTCAAACAAAGTAAAATAATGTCTTTTTCTGTCTGAGTTTCAATCAGGTCCCTGGCCAAATAAAACACAGTTCATTTTGCATGGCCAGCATCAGCCAGCGGGGTTACAGAACCAACACTGTAAGTTATCACCCAAACAGATCTTCCCAGGTGACAGCGCTACAGAAATTTCCTGCAGCTTTCCCATGTTCTGTGAACACCTCTGTCATGGTTTGCAGTGATGCCAGCTCTTTAAGCTGTTCATGTGTGCATTTACTACTGATATCACTTCACTTCTTCGAGGCCCTCCCAAACTGTTCAGGCATGCTGGATGAATACCAGTGCTTCTTTTCATCATGCCTCTTCCATCCCAGTCCTACTTACCCTATTGTTTCATTTCCAGGATACCAGTATGTGTTAAATAAAAACCTTGAGGTTATTCTGCAGGGTGAAATTCCCATTATTTTCATGGACTGAGGTTTTAGTACAATGGAAGACGGACCAGTTAAAGGTCTCAACAAACACTCCTAGGCTGTATAATGTAGTGGCCACTCAAGGAAATGATGGAGAGATAAATACTCTGTCCCTGATGGCTTGCCACATGGGGAAAAAGTATTCCCTGCCACCAAGTATTGCTGCTGTCACCTCCATGGAAGATGACTCGCAGTCTGGGGTGAACTGGAAGAAACCAAAGAAAGGGAGGGTGAAGGTGCAGAACCACCTGATAAATTATCTCCCCATGGCTCTGCGTGAGAGTACTGACGGGGTTTAGTTCTCTGTGATGTGTTCAAGACATCAGCTCTTCAGAGAGGTACAGTATCAACAGAAGCTTGGTCACGGCTGTGGTGCTGACAGGATCACACTGCAGCGTTGCACTGTGATGTGGCTGGGAGCAAATCTGCTAGGTTGGGCATATGTAAATATCTATTTACATTTCCATTAGTATCTTATCCTTCTCTCTGTCCACCTCCAAGATAAAACCACCTTTTTATCAGAAACAGTGACACACAGGCATAATAAAGATAACTGCAGGAAGAAGTACAGCTAGTACAGGTTTGCATTGATGTATGAAGAAAAACTGAAGACAGAGAGCTTGATACAATTCATCAGTGCACTGCATAATCTGAAAGTGTTTGACTTTAAATGTATAGAAAAAACAAAGACTAACCTTGCATTGCTCTTCTTCCCTCCGTTGGTTTCCAATAAACTCTTTTTTAAATTCCACAGAGACTGGATCTTTGCCTTTATGAACTTTCCTGTATTTACAGTGGAGGCAAGAAAAATGCTTTACTTAACGCACAGTTTGCTTTATGTACTGACTGATACTCCTCTTCCTGAGGTATCTAGGGGTCCATAACGTTCAGCATAAGAGCAGAACCATGGACTGCAAATGGAACAGTGGTGTGCTTACACAGCACTATGTGTTTTGCTTTATGTCATTTGATGTACATGTGCAATTCTGTTCACTCCCTTATACATTTTAGCCTTGATTTACTGACAACCACAACACAAGCTTCTTTTGCCTTCAGGAAACCAAGATGGGATGCATGAGAACAAGGTTAGGTGAACAAGGTTTTCAGCAGGTTTCTTTCTGAATGAAACCATAAGACAATCAAAGACCTCACAGGGTACTACACTATGGATTACTACCGAGACTGCTCCTAGGCAGAAGAGAAAAAAACTAAAGTAAAACAACAGTAACTCAGCTGTAAAACTAAACTATCAGGACATGAAATGGCAGCATTACGCACTAGTGGATATTGCATACAAGAAGCCTTAGTTAAGAGGTCTCTTAGTTAAGAGTTGTTAATGAGGTTAACTAACACTTACCACTTCAGATCATCTGCTTCCTCTTCCTGAATATTTTGTTTGACTTTTAGTTGAAATCCAGCTTCCTTCATCTCTCTAGTTTTTATTCCTTCATTGCCTTGGCAAAGGGCTGGAGGAATATCAGAAAGCCACGTCAGACCTCAAACTAGATTTAACTTTTAATTGGGAAATCCACTCATTATGGTAACTGAACTTATTAATGAATAAAGGTGAGATTTCTTACAGGAGCTGCAATCACATTACCTCAGTAATTCGGAAGCCGAGTTCCTCATCAGAAACCACCAATAATGGTAAGACCAAATTGATGTTGCTTAATTATATTACCTTCTTTCAAGTCCTTAATCTTCAATTTGCTTGGTTTCTGATTCAAAACGGTAGCTACAGCATAAGGATTTGACAAGTCGGTGGGGAATCTGAGGTTCTGGTATTCAATTTCCTACAAGATATAAATGAATAGGAAGAAATAGAAACAAGATAGATTTTCAGCTCAGAAAAGTAATTGTTATTATTATCTCTTCACACCTTTATTTTCTGAATAGGCCTTGACTGTTGTTGGCTGAATTGGCCTCTTCTCCACACTATGGATTTTCCTGCAGAAGCCGCTTTTTTCTCTGGATGACTTTGTTGTTTGTCAAAATGTTCTTTTCTAGGTGTCAGAAGGACAGATATTGCTCTTATAAGTGCTCTGTAAATGCCACGTAAGTCTATACACGCATTTACATGCCCTTTAGATATACAGGGTGACTGGAAATTTCTCTCCCAAACCACAAATGGAACCAAACTTTCTAATCTTCAGAGTTCACAAAATAATTAAGTACAGGTCAAAAAGCCTTATTGCTCAAAAAACCCTGTATCTTGCAAGGCCTCAGCAATAAGAATGAGCAGGCATAATAGAAGCTAAGGGGATGCATCCTTAAGGATACATAACTTCTTGTTATTTTTATTTTGGTACAGCTCCACTTCATACAGATTAAAGGTGTTCTGAGCAAACAATGTAAAAAAGCAAGTGCATATATTAACTAATTACATTGGTGCATTTTAAGTCTCCAAAGATACAAATACTTCAAACAATTACAGCAAAATAACATTAAATTCTCCTATTACACAGGTATTTTTTAGCACTGGGCAAACATACTCAGCAATCAGTCAGCCACACATACGTTAGACCCAGATGTGGTGTTGATGTTCCTGTGAATACACACACATAGGGCTTTGAGTGAAACTGTGAAATCTGTAACTGCATTGTCGTTTGTGCTGTTCCATACTCAAGGGGGGAATATTTCACAGTTAATTCCACTTTCCCATTGCCTGGAATGATTCCTGCGGTTAGAGAAGAAAACAAATGAGATTCCGTCTAACATGAGCCCACTTCAGTATGCTGAAATTGATTCTGGTTTACATTTTTTTTTAAACACTATTAATGTTTGAATGGATGGCAGTAGGCCTGGAAAATATTTCAGGTCTTAAAGTGTCTTTCAGGAGCTATCAGTTGCCAGATAATGGGAGATATTTTTCAATAGCAGAGATACTTGACAGTAAAACTATAACATTTTCTACTGTTGTGAAAATTATTGATTGTTTATATCCAGAAATTCTTCACTTGCATCTACCAGTCCTAAGTCTCTGGCACATCCTGCTTTCATGAGCAATGCATTATAAACATGGTCCTCTGTGTTCTTCCAAGTCTGGGGAATCATCTGGATTTGATGCATTACCTGTCTCTACTTGGTCTTATTTCCTTATTCCCTATTCCATTATTTGTCAACCACTCTTCACATCCCTAAACATTCAGTGCAATCCCAAGATACAGGCCCTGATGCTTCTCAGCATTTCTGCAACAAGGTGTTTATTCAGCTCATCAGAAATTTTAATTTCTCATCTCTGTAAAGTGACCATTGCCTGGTTTTCTGCATCCTGTAGTTAAAACACCAGTTAGTTTCATCAGGGTGTATTTTGTGTCCCAATTTTACTGAACTGTAATACTGTTTCTTTTCTCCCTTGATATATCAAAACTTCTTTAAGCACAAAGTAAGAAAGAATATTATCCTGAAAGAATGACCCAAACCAGGGCAGCAGCACAGTTCATCTTTGTGAACCATATGTCTGACTGAATCCAACTATTACCTCCAAAGAATGAAAATCCATCTGACAAAGCAGAGTAAATTCATATCATTGTACATACAGGAACAACAGCAACGCTTATGAAAGTGCAGGAGTAATCAAAGTTTAAATTCCAGTGTTACAAATGGCTCTAAGCACCAGATTTGTGAAGGTTTTTGTTAGAAATTTATGTATTCTCATGAATACACGACCAGACGGCCTAAGTGGATTATGCAGCCATGTCTCCTTCACTTACACCTTTTTATCAGAAAACTTAGGCACTTAACATGCTGCAAATGCAACGATGAGAGCAAGTGACCTACAAATAGTTATGTCTGCCTCAGGACAGAGCCCTCTCCAGCATCAGGCATGAAAATAGCCGATCATACTGTAGCCAGAAGTCCCTGCCTCGTGTGAAGCCCACACACAGGGGTCTAGACTGAATCTAATATCCACTGCTGTCCCATGAAACATCTGCAGCAGTGTGTTTTGTGCCCCTCTAAACAGCTCCTGAAGCAACAATTCTACCAAATTCGTCCAGATCACTAGGGAAAACAGGTACAAGGACACGTTTGATAGAGGAGAGGTCCCCTTTTATTGCCTCTGTGCACCCAGTCAAGTAACATGATGCTTACCTATTTCACAAAGACAGACATCTGTTCCTGTAACGGGGCAGGAGCCAGACAGTCCTTGGGGAAAGGTGTGATAAAGAGGTGAATGCTGAGCTTCCTGCCTCTCTCCTTTCCAAAGGCCATACAGGCAAGTAGAGGAGACAAAGGCTGGATGGACTGTTTGGGACATCCCATATTTAGCCAGAGGTCTGTAGCTGGGCACTGACAAAAGAAATCTGCCAGCCACAGAGGGCTATTTGCCATGAGGCTGCATATGACTCATATTTATCAGTCTGCATTTACCTGGAAACACCCTGAGGCAAAGGCTTCTTCTGTAGAGCACTGAATACACTGTCAGAAGTAAATACACCTAATAAATACTAATTAAATGTTTAGAATTTTAAGTAAGTTCAATCTACCAAATGTTGGCTGGACAGTGAAGGCTCTGTGAGGCTGAATAAAATCAACGTGGAATTCAAAATCCACTGGACAGCTGCACTGCAACGGGATAACGTACTCCTTACTGAAAAGAGAGAAAGGAAGAAAGAAATTCATGCAACTACAGTTCATCATCAATTACAGGCTAGAAAATTATATTATACACAACATGCACTGAATTTATCTGTGTTCAGAGCAATGGGTTACTTATTAATGTGAAAATAGTCATTCCTCATTGTTACAAAATAGCAAAATACTTCAGATCTTTCACTCAGTGAGGAAATGAGAGCTAAACTTTGATTTGAACGCTGGATATTTTACATCCTACCCATACAGAATCTGATTACAGAAAAATCTGTTTACGTGTACCCTCGCATTCTTACAAACTGCAATATCTAGCAAGTACAAACAATCCAAACTGGAACAACAGTAAGTACGGAACCAGAAATCAGTCTTCTCCCATGACCGTCCTTGTTGAATACAGTGAGAAAAGATTGTGCAGTCTTCAGAAGTGTTGAAAACTCCAGCACTTCATCATAATGGGACTTTAACCACTGTAGAAATAACGATGCTGTGGCCTGATTTTCATAAAAGCCCTTTATGTCCCATGCTGGTTGTGGGAGGGGTATTAGCATACACCTTTTCAAGCTGTCTTGCTTTTGTACACATCTATTTTCACGTATCAAATTGAAATACAAAAGCATTGGTGTAACACCATCCACCATCCTACAAATCAAGACCAATTTACCCAAGCTTATTTCTGGTTTTTGTAAACTGTCTGACTGAAATCCAATCCTGCTGATTAGCAAGGAATTCATGTTATATGCAGTGATCCTTTGGAAAGCACATTTTGAAACACCTAAGGAAATAAGCAATAATAGCAAAGTCCCTTTTTCTCTGCATTAATATGACCTGTTCATGAAGCAGATTGGGGAAGGAATTTGCTTTAAGGTATAATGCAGCTTCTACAATAACCAAAGAGCCCTAGAAACAAGATGATGATGTTGCCTGTTGCCACATGGCCCTTCTGTACCTAAGGAGAAAGCTGGGTGGTAGAATATAGGTCTTATCCTACACTTGTGGAAGTAAAAGGAAGGTTTTTCATTGATCTCAGTGGCCTGTGTATTGAGCCCACACTTCTCTGGGTTCTGTACAGCACCAAGAACCTCAGAGAACTTTCATTTTTAGGAAAGTTTTTAATAGCCTAGCATGTAAAACACTGGTAAAAATTAAGGTTTGAAACCATGAGTTTTCTCTTCAGGAAGTCTTCCAAATTCCCTCATGGGCAGCTCCAAGTAATACTGCTGTGTTGGAAAATTTTCCCATTATTTAAAACTGTATTTTGTACTCTGTCTAATCTCTTCCCTGTGTTCTGAGAGTATGAAAATTCTGTATACTTCAGCACTTGTTTTAAAAATGGAGAAAATAAACAGAATCATATCATGCCTACAATGTCAGGAGTTATGTTCAGTCCTGTGAGAAAGATGTAACATCACTTCTGACGGATTCACTAGAGTTTAACAGGTTAAGGGGATTAGAAAAACAAATAAACAGACACAAATGTTCATTCTACAATGCTGGGCTCATTTTTATTGCAGAATTTTGCATTTTCCTTGTATGTTCCTTGCCTATTCGTATTTCTGTACTTCAGTAAAATTCATGTGTTACTTCCAACTCACAGGCTAAGACACAACCTAGCTGCAAAGACCTTCAGTTCCTAGAATTCACTGAAATCTTTACACTAACACAAATCACATAATTACAGCTAATATAGTCGATATACTACAGAACTGGACCCACACAACAGGATCTCCCTTCTCCTTTTTCCCTTCCCAGTTCCTATTAACAACAATTATTACCAACTACTTCATGAGAACAGTCAGTGTTACATCTATACTGCAGACAGAATAAGATGAAGTCCATGCCATTCAGAGCTCCATGTGAGAAGATCCCTTTAAATATATTTAAAAGAAGCAGCAAATCTAATGACTGATCAGTCTCTGGACTGAGGTTAGCTATTTGCTGTCACACCTGCCATCACCAGCTCCTATCTTCAATTCCAGAACCCTTCCTCTTGAAAGTAAAATCCATTCACTTAGGACTTATTAACACTAAAAAGACATAGCACTTGGGAGCATGCAGATTATGAACAGCAGCCGTATTGTTTCACTACATGATGAATGAAGTGAGTCAGCACCAATTTAGACTAGCTGAAACCCTAGTTCCACCTATATAAATGTTCAGTTTGCACAGCATTTAATTTCCTGTGAATGTGCACCTGAAACAGTTGATACACAGAATTATTTTGCAGTCCAGATGGCAGCTGACTTACTTAAAGCTTCCAATACATTAGGTTGTACAAATAGAGGAAAACGAGATTTTTCAGCTTTTGTGCATGTCTCACAGAATGTGGACAAAGTATCTGCCCACAGCTCACCTCTTACCGACTGATACATCAGACAGATTTATAAGTGGTGGAAAATCCACATCATTCACAGCAGGGTAAGCATGCACAGGAACAACCAGTGTATCTTCTCCCTTCAAAAAAAAAAAAAAGGTAAATATTTATTTCTTACAATGAATAAATGTTATGGAAAGAAAAAACTGCTGTAGTAGCTGGGCATAAAACATCCTCATGATCATCACTGTCTTGCACCTCAGGATATTGGCAGTCTACCTGCCTTCAGTATCCATCTGCCTTCCCATACTTAGAGCAACTATCTAGAGCACCTCCAAGCCTGCTCAGCTAACACATTACATCAGTGTGGCACAAAGGCTGATCTGCTGGCAAAGATTAACAGCGTAAGGAAGATATTCATTCTACCCACGGCTCTGGGATGTTTACAGAGAGAAAAATTTTAAATGCTTAAAATGAAATACTCAAATCCAAATTTACTGGGAATAAACCCTGTCTCTAGGAGATTAACTCTACCTCTATCGTTATCATCACATCCTAACAGTTGTTCCATTCCATTACAACTGTAAATGTATTTTTATAATAAATCCTCACCTGACAGTGAATTCGGATGCAGTCGTGGTAATACCGCCACTCATCAGGGCAAAAATCAACAGTAACTGTATATGAGAAGCCAGGAACAAGCTGGTGCTACAAAATGACCCAAAATAAGATAGAAGGCATGTAAAAGCAACTTATATCTAGTGCTGCATGCGAAGACCAGCGTGAAGGCTGCCACTTACTTTTTTGTTGTATTTGATCTGAAAATACTTTGTCTGGGGTGGTATTATGTGCAGGTTCGTTACACTGCCAGAAATATTTATCAGTTTCTGTAGAACCAAAGAAAATCAAAACCACAAAACACTTTACGAGAGGTCAATTAGAATGCCAACTGTAATTTTTGTGAGACTACCCATAACAAAGAACCTGTATTAAACAAGGAAGTAATAATTTTTACTTTAGTAGAAATAATTCTGAATATGCTCTGAATTTAAAATAAATTATGTAAACCTTGCATCCTGCATATTTATTCTTTGGAACCAAGTCACAAATCCGTACCTAAGAATAACAGTTAGTCTTACTAGAGAAGACACTACTGTTAAATCAAATTCTGGTCCTGCTTTTCTTATGTGCAATGAGAACAAAAAATTAAATAACCTACTGACTTCACATTTACAGATGTCTGAAACAACAGAAATTATGTAAGAGACCATGGTTTGTTTTGGATCACAACAAACCTTTGAACGGTGACAGTTCAGCCTGCAAAACCTCCTGCATCTTGTTTACTTTTATTGTATCTGGAGGACCTTGTCCACCATAATCATCCAACCTCCCTCAAAACACTTATCACATGAATAAAGAAGGCAGACAAAGGGAAAACAGAGAGAAGAAAAGGCAATACTCAACTATTCACAAGGAAAGGTAAATCAAACCTATGCCCTGAGCTCCTTTCTTTAGATTAAATTGCTCTAGGCAGGAGGCCAGAGGTGCTTTCAAAATTTTCCCACCTGTGAACACATTTGCAGACACAGTGACAGTCCAAGGGCATTTTGATAACAGGCCCTTAGGGAGTTAAAGCATGAAACCTTCATTCATGACTTGCAAGTCACATCCCACTAACACTGCTGGCAGACAGGGAAACAAAGCTGAACAGAGACTGTAAAGAACAGTGATGCACACAGCACGGCACTCGTCGTTTTGTTACCGCAGGGCCACTGATTTTAAGTGCTGCTTTTTAGAGCACTCCATAGAGCAAAAGGCCTCATGACCACAAGCAGTCTACTCAGCTTCTGTTATCCTTTCATGAGCCCCAAGAGGATCCCTGCTCTGACACTTACCAACGTCTGTGGGTGATGTTCTCCAACTTTATACCCTCCGTAGTGTAACACTGCAGGCTCAGCCTGAATAACCTTGCTCCTCTGAAGTTCTGAATAAATCTCTACAGAGGTGGATAATAACACAGGGAGACAAGGAAAGCAAGTGAAACATGCATGACGGTTGTTACTTACATTAAGTATATTTATATTGCATCCAGTGTATTATAGGGAAAAAATTGAGAGAGAGGTTATTTTTCCTGCCAAGCAGGCATAACTCTTTAAATGGAAAGTTAAGGCAGCACCTACTACCGCAGCAGAGCCATGAGCCTGTCGTTGGTTTATCCCTTGACATCATGGCTTCCAGGAGCCACCCCAAAACCAGCCAGGATCAGTACAGACACTACTTCTTTCCTGACTACCTCTCCTATGGGTTGGGCTCACAGGAAGACACAGTTTAAACAGGATGGGAATTTTGCCTGTGAATTGCATAAAAAAAAACCCAACAGTGAAGTGCCTCCTAGGATTGCTCCAAGGTTGGGGAGCAGTCAGAAAGTCGAAACTTACTTGATTCCAGCAGGTGATTGGGAATAGCATGTTTTTTAGGTTCCTCCACTAGGCTGCCCAGAAGCACACTGGGTATTTTCTTGAGGGATTTATTAGCGATCGTGATTTCTGTGGAGGTCGACTGAACCACGTCCATGGTTAGGACATAAATGGAGTCGGAACAGCACTTAAATTCCTCAGCACCTGGGGGAAAATCAAAACAGCATAATGATCAAAGTGTCTTCCCTTGCACTGGCAACATTTGTTGCCTAAAACTGACTAAAAACATCTAAAAGAGGGAGTTGCTTTTCTTCCCTACTGAAGAAGATTACTGTGCGTGCGCTAAGTACAAGGAGAGAGTGATTCCAGGAGACCTTGCTCACACCACAAACCCTAGCACATGGGCCATGTTCATCTGTTCTAAGGCTTACTGGGGACATTTAGCTTCCAGGACTGTGTAAAACATCTCTCTTCCTTCACGTCCCCCAGCACAGACAAGGAGGGAAGGTTCTTGATAATTCCACTCTCCCAACCGATTTCTGCAGAGATGTTCTTCCAATCTCTCATGAATGTTTGGGTTGTTAACTTGCAGATTCATTTTTAATTTTTAAATATTAATATGAGGGATAAGAAAACTGACTTTTGAATCTTTTGTTTGGATAGCATCATCTGGGTTATTTGTTTAGAGAAGATAACTGTAAACCCAGAAGGCCATGGGTATTATAGATCCTGCGTTAAGTAAGCACAGTTATCAGAACATAAACTTCTATAATGACAAGCGCAAATATTACACAATAAGGACATCAGACACAATACGTCCAGAAGAAATTATCTTCCTAACTATAGCACATAGCCCTTGGCTCTCTACGAATTGGAAAACTGCATGAAGAAACAGACAAGAGACTTTTGGGAAAAGTACGGAGTTCAAAAGCCATGCTGGGTTTTTCAACCCTCAAGAAGGGGTTTGAAAACCTTTCATTTTGTATTTGTTCTTCGTGAACGGGAAGGCGGGTGTGCAGCTCAGGATAGTGCCATGTTAACAGCAACACACACCTGAACTCACCCAGTGCTAGACAACGCAGACCCCTTCCGCCAAGCTCCTGTCACGAGGCATCTTCCTGCTCCCGGAGCAGTGGCACAAAAGCTGATTAGCTGCTTGGACAAGAGAGTTCAATTGTATGATCCACACTATGGCAGCATTTTAAGATTCAACAGTTCCAAAATTGAATCGCTAGTACCAGGAGCGGTACTGGGTTTGTTTTGTTGTTTTAACACTCTCATGCCAGCTTCAATGACCTTAAAGGGCCCCAACCTAAATTAACACTGATCGATAAAAGTTTGAGGGATGCAGGGCAGAGGGGAGCATCAAAGCCATGCCCAACGTTCCTGGGTCGGCACTTTTCAGGACTGAAGAGGTCCACCTCCCCCATTATATTTTATGGTCTCACCTCTGGAATTTGTCTGGTTTTCTAGTCTGCTTTGGATCTTTCAGGCAGAAGTTGAGAGGTGCTTCAAGCTCATAAAGTACTGTTTCGATTTATGGCCTTGTGCAGTATTAAATAATAAATAAGCAAGAAGCTTAAAATAATGTCCTACCAGTACCCTGGCCTCAATGATATTTTCCATTTCATGGCTCCAAGAACAAATTTTTCACTTGAAACAGAAAAAAATCTGTAAGAGGAACTGTATTATGGTGCACAACAGTAAATTTCTTCTGAGGTAGTGAGACCAACCAAACTCGGACAAAAACATGCTAAAGAAATTCCAAACATAAGGCTTACATTCTTTCCACTCGTGTTGCTCAACTTTATTTTATACAACTGCCATCAGCATTCCCCATCAGGAATGAAAGCTTTGAAAAGCTGTAGACAGATTTACATTAGCAAAGGATTTCTGGTGTCATCTCACGAGTAATTTAAGGGGACGCCACCATCATCACTCACCACTGTAGTAATTCTCAGAGGGCTAATACAGGATGCACGCTTGATAGACTGATGTTCTCAAGCTTTCCAAGATATCTGTCTACCCTTAACACGACTTTTTGTGCAAAGCCACCACCAGCAGAACTCCGGGGGGCTGTGAAATCCTGGTTCCTTTGAAGGCAATGGTAAAACTCACCCCAAATCCCCTCAGGCCAGGGTATCACCCTGCTGCCCACTGACATAATTAGGCTATCAGGGCTTCTCAGCGAGCAGAAGGGCTTTAGTTTCACGCACGT